GTTCGAAACTACCAGCCGCTCCGCGGGAGAAAGAGGAGGCCTTCTACTCCCGTAAAGATTTACACCCTCGGAAACCCTGTACAGGGTCGCTATGGGTCGGAACCGACTCGACGGCACTTAACAACAACATAGGGTTTCCAAGGAGCAGCTGTTGGGTTTGGTGGCCAACCTTGCAGTTCAAAGTGACCTTGCAGGCTAGTGGCCTGCTACTCTAAAAGAGTCATATTCTACCTCTCTAACTTGTTTTTCCAAAAACTATTTTGTCCTGTTGAAAAGATTTACTAAGCATGACCTTCAACTGTTTACAGCTATTAGCAATGGAGTGTGGTGATCACATCCTTGCTTTGCTCCTTGCTGCAGAGTTGAGTTTAATTGTCTATTTTTGCTTGGAGTCCTTCTGATTTTTTGAAGGACTATAAGATTAGAAATAAGGACAAGTTCTACATTCTAACTCTGCAAGTCTCCAAATTTCTTGACTCTATTATCTTTTATTCATACTTACAAACTGAACAGTTGTTTTGTGACTTGTCTCTTTCTTGTTGAACCTTGCTAATTGCATCCAACAGCAACCAACTCATGCTACAAAGATTCTATTTTTCTTTGCTTAAGTCTAAATTTTGTGTTATATCATTTCTTAGTCTCCTTTCCAAGCTATCATAGGTGACAGTTGTACCAAATGCTTCATTGTGCCAAACATGAGTTATTATTTTTTCAATTTACAATAATAAATCTTTCACACCAACTGCCTAGCTCTAAAGACACAAATTTTAAAGTTAAAATTTTTTTTTTTTTTTACAATAGTGCATCAGTATTTGTACAAATTTATTTAATAGTTATGACAGATTGGGTAATGCTATACTGGCAACCAATTAAAGGCAAAGACATTTCTTGATAATACTACATCTTCACCACGGATCAATAGAGGGTGTTCTCACCCTGAATCACCCACTAATAGGAGCTTTGAGAGAAGAGTAGGTAGAAAAACACATATATAATGCTTCTGCCTGGAAGTGACATAGGACATGTCCACTCATCTTTCATTTGCCCAAAAAAGTCACAAGACCAAGCCTAAACTCAAAGGGATGAAGAAGCATGATCCTCTTCCAGGATGTAAGGAGGAGGCAAATATTGACACACAGATACACAAAATACTACCGGGTTAATAAGTTTCATTTTTCATACACTATTGTGTATGTTTGTGTCAGGACCCTGTAAGGCAGCCATAATCAATATGTCAAGAGGCTAAAATAAAAATAGTGAGAGGATAAGGGCCAGGGAAATTAGAATGCCAGAAATCGAACAACCAGAATGCAATTAAAGAGAATGTTGACACATTGTGAAAACTGTAATGTCATTGAACACTTTGTGTAGAAATTGTAAAATGGACCCTTGTTTGCTGTTTATATGTTCACCAAAAATACAGTATCATTAAAAAAAAAAAAAAAAAAGATGAAAAGAAACATTCTACATTAGGACCCACATTAACAAACACCAGTAATTATCATTCATTAACAGATAAAAATCTAGCTAGACTCAGCTAATATTTTCCTCCAATATTGAAGTAGTTCTAGACTACGCATCTTTAAAACCCCATATTCATATTTTAAAATATCATTTATCTTGAAATAAAGTATGCAAACTTTGCCAAGAAAATAATGTCAAGAGAAAATTGCTTTCTTCCATCTGTTCAGGGCATCTTTGATTTCTGTGTTTCTCAGACTGTAGATCAATGGATTTAACATGGGAATCACCACTGTGTATACAACAGAAGCCAGCTTATTTTGGCTAAGAGAATCATCAGAGCTGGGGCATAAATACACAAAGGTGCCTGAACCAAAGAAAAGGGTCACTGCCGTCAGGTGAGAAGCACAGGTGTTGAAAGCCTTGGACCTGCCTTCAGCTGAACTGATCTTCAAAATGGTGGTAACGATATAACCATAGGATATCATGACAACAAGTGCAGAGGCCAATCCATAGATCACTGTGAGTACAGATGTTATAACTTGTAAGAAGAAGGTGTCAGAGCAAGATAGCATCATCAGTTGCGGCAGGTCACAGAAAAAGTGGTTAATGACATTTGGCCCACAGAAATGGAGTTGAAGTAAACCACACAGTTGTGTTAATGAGCCAAAGAATCCAGTAATGCAGGATCCTACCATCATGTGCAGACAGAGAGCTGGGGACATGATGGCTGTGTAAAGTAGAGGATTGCATATGGCAGCATATCGATCATAAGCCATGGCGGCCAGAAGACAACACTCAGTCAGAGCAAAACTAGAGAAGAAGAAGTACTGCATGGTGCACCCCCAAAAAGTGATGGATTTAAATTCCTGAAAGAAATCAAAGAGCATCTTGGGGGCTGTGGAGGAAACATAGCATATATCTATAAATGCAAGTTTACTGAGGAAGTAATACATGGGTGTGTGCAGGTGGGAGTCCATCTTGATCAGGACAATAAGACCCAGGTTCCAGAACACTGTCATGAGGTAGATCCCTAGGAATATTGAAAAGAGGAAGACTGTGAGCTTTGGAAATTCAGAGAATCCCACGAGGATGAACCAGGTAACTGTAGTACGGTTTCTTTCTTTAGTTGTTGCCATGGTGCTCCTGAGATCTACAGAGAGTAAGAAAAGAAATCTTTTGTTATCTCAGTATTCACAGGCTATTGATATGAAAAGGTACCCTGCTACTCATTCCTTTAGCATTGTAGGGGAAAGAAACTGCTCATATATATTTTTTATCTCTTTATTTTTGTAAACTTTTTTGTTCCCAAGTATAACATAGAGAAGAAAACCCTTGTCAGCTTAGAACTCCACCTACCTTATTTTAAAGAGTAATAATATTGCATGTTGAATGTCTGTTGCTACTGTTGCTAGTAGCTATAGAGTTTGCTCTGACTCCTGAAGACATATTTAGCAGAATGAAGGTTTGCTTACTTTTGCTCCTAATCCATGATCACTGGTATGTTTGAACACATTGCTGCAGATATTTTGTCAGTCCAATTTATTTTCACTGGTCCTCCATTTCATAAGCATGATGTCTTTTTCTTTTGGATGGTCTTTTTGGATGATTTGTAGAAGGTAAGCAAGATGAAATCTTTCTATTCTTGCTTCTAAAGTGCATTCCACTTACATTACTTCTAAGATTGATCTGTTCATTCTTCTTAAAGTTGGTGGCATGTTCAGTACCCTTTGCCAACACCACACTTCAAATGTATTAATTTGTCTTCCTTTCATTGTGTAGCTTCTGCATGCATATGGAGTGATTGAAAAGATCATGGTTGGGCTAAGCCATATCTTAGTCATCAAGATGACATCTTTGTCTTTGACAGCTATTGTTGTTGATGAATGCTGTAGAGTTGACTTTGACTCATAGTTGACCCTGTATAAGGTTTCCTAGGAGTGGCTTATGAATTTAAACTGCTGACCTTGCAGTTCAAACTGACCTTGTGATCCAGTGTTTATTCTACAGTGCCAGGCCAGTACACAGGTCTTTTTCAACAGGTTATATACAATATAAACAATATATTAAGTATCACTTATCAAAAATAATATATATGGAAATATCTGCCCCATTAATGATGAATAGAGTTGGGGTCAAAATGAAACCAATGCAAGAGTTCTAAAATAAAACAGAGAAGCTAATGTGGTCCTATGGGTTAATGCACTGGACTGCATGGGTTGGTTTGAACCACAAGGTTAGCAGTTGAAGCTCACCAGCCGCTCCTAGCAGACCCTATATAAGGTCACTGTGGGTCAGAACCGACTTGATGGCACTTAACCACAACAACAAACATTATATTGAGATAATATGGAGGACTATCTACCCACAACCCAAACAAAAATACCGAGTAAAATATTTTAGTAATCTTTTCAAATGTATGAATTTTTTTTGTGTTAAAAATAACCCCACAAAAGTATCACTCAAAATAAACACTATATGAAAATAGAATCCAGAGAGGTAGCAGAAATATGAATTAGGCTTTCATATTTTAAATACTTGTAAAAGTAACCTTGGTGGCTGTGTGCCCTAGAGTCGATTCTGACTCATAAGTACCCCGTACAGGGTTTCCGAGGCTGTAAATCTTTACGGGAGCAGAAAGCCTCATCTTTCTCTTGCGGAACAGCTGGTAGTTTTGAACTGCCTACCTTGCTGTTCGCAGCCCGATTCGTAACCACCATGGTACCAGAGCTCCACAAAGTAACCTTAGGGTAGATTTTCTTTCTTTTTTTTTTTTTTTAGCTTCAAAGGGCTCAGGGATCCAGAATAAATGGTTGAAAATCTAGCCAAAGACCCTCATACAAAGCTGGAAGACTCACACCCCCACAGGATTATGTTATTAACAGAAAGGTGAAAGGTAAAAGTTGAGATTATCATTATTCCAAAGAACTGCAAGGGAAATGCTCTGTCTAAAAAGTGGGGGTTCTTGAGTGGAGAAGATTAAGTTGATTTTAACTCCCCAGGGACTTTGGTACTATAACCTGCTTCACAGTGTATGAAATGCCTGGTGCACACAATCCAATTTCATACTACTTAGCATGCCTGAGATCTTTTTAAAGTCTTGAAGAACAAAAACGTCAGCTTTAAGTCTAAGGTGCACCTGACCCAAGCCATGGTTTTTTCAATAGCCTCATATGCATGTGAAAGCTGGACAGTGAATAAGGAAGACTGTAGAAGAATTGATGCTTTTGAATTATGGTGTTGGAGGAGAACACAGAAAGTGCCATGGGCTGCCAAAAGAACCAACAGATCTGTGTTGGAACAAGTGCAGCCAGAGTGCTCCTTGGAGGCCAGAATGGCCAAACTTCGTCTCTCCTACTTTGGACATATTGTCAGGAGGATATCATGTTTGGTAAGGTGGAGGATCAGAGGAAAGATAAAAAGAGGAAGACCCTCAGCAAGATGGATTGGCAAAGTGGCAGCGTCAGTAGGCTCAAGCGTGGTAACAATAGTGAGGTTGGCCCAGGATCGGGCAGTGCACTCTTTCTGCTGTGCATAAGGTCATTATGGGTCAGTACTGACTTGATGACACCTAACAACAACAACAAAACATGTCCGAAGGAGTACTATGACTGTAGGATAAGCACTGGACTGCTAATCACAGGATTGGATGTTGGAGCCCACCAACTGCTTTCACAAAGATTTACAAGCCTTGGAAACCCTACACAGGGTTGCCATGAGTCAGAAATGACTTGATGGCACTTAACAGCCACCACTACCACCACAGTAACAATGTGCCTGAAAGAAATCCAAGTTTGGGATTTAGTTTAAAGAGATCCTGGATTGATAGAAGTGAGGGCTTCTGAATATGTCAGTACATAAAAGGGTTGTTACAAGTTTGCTATGACATTAGGACCTTGTTTCACATTGTCAATCACTTCATAGTTTTGTTCAACAAAGTTTTGCTTTAGTTTGTATGGTGGACATCTAATCAATTGGCATATCATACTCCCAAAGACAATGCTCTATATCCTACTTTGGTACATAGCAACTTGGCTCTTAATAGTTACGAGTGGTCATTTAATGCAGCTATTGGTCTGTCCCCATTTGGAACAAAGGAGAGTGAAGAAAATCAGACTAAAATACTGAATTAGTCCACAGGACTAATGGACCACAAGAACGTCAGCCTCCACTAGCCTGAGACCAGAAGAACCAGATGGTGCCTGGCTACCACTATCAAGCACTCTAACTGGAATCATAATACAAGGACAGAAAAATGTAGAACAAAATTAAAATACATAAAAAGGACCATACTTACTGATCTGATAGAAACTAGTAGAACCTTTGCTAAGGGCTATGGCCTGTGGGTTAATACGCTGAACTGCAAAGTTGGTTTGAACCACAAGGTGGGTAGTTCCAACTCAGCAGCTGCTTCTCAGAAACCCTACACATGGTCATTATGGGTCTGACTCTAGTTGATGGCACTCAACAACCTCAACAATGGCCCTTAAACACCCTTCAAACCTGGAACTGAACCCCCTCTCAGAGATCACCTTTCTGTCAAACAATAAAGTGAACAACAGCACCCCTAGGGGAGTATTCATAAGAACACTCAATCATGGAAGACTGAAATGGCAGCATGTGTTCAGAAACAAAATTCAGAAAGTAGGAAAGGTCAGGAAAAAGGAACAAAGAGAAACAGGACAGCCAGAGAGGAAATGGAAGTTTGTGGATCACAATTACTGTCATGAGACAAAACACATCAGTTGTTGATTGGAAATGAATGTGCTCTATAAACTTTCATCCAGATCACAAAAAAATGCTTTTTAAAAAAAGTACATTGCACTTAAAAAGAAAGAGAGGGAAAACCACAAATGAATAATTCATGGTGTAAAAAAAGAATTCATATCAAAAATAAGAAATATTTTGAACTAAACAAAAATGACATAAATACCACATATAAAAAATACTGCATGAAAAGGCATGGTATATATAGATATGTTGCTGTTGTTAAGTACCATTGAGTTGGTCCTGACTTATAGTGACCCTGTATAGGGTTTTTGAGGAGTGGCTGGTGAGCTTGAACCATCAACCTTGTGGTTCAAACTGACTTTGCAGGCCAGTGCATTAACCCCCAGTGCCATACCAGGACTCTCTCTGTCTCTCTATATTCTAAGTATACATTTCAAAAGGTGTGAGACTATATACACTGAAGTATTTAGTGGTGAGCTATGTGTGATAGGAGTATAATGTTAATGGCTCATTTTCACTTATTAGTGTATTCTAATTTTCTATAATGTACATGTGATATTAGTAATTCTATAATAATAAAAATATAATTAAATTCTAAGGATACTGCTGAACAAGTTGTAGAGTGAAATATGTTTCTTTAAATGCTTGCATTGGAAAATAAGTAATGGAAATGAAACCATGCTCAGGTCTTTCAGCTAAACAACGCATTGGCTCATAAAATAAATGATATCATCTGTGAGTACTGTGCTACTTAAAAAGGAAAAATGGAAATGAAACAGAAGAGAAATAATGAGAATGTTGACTCAACGTGGAAAATGTGCTCAGTGTCACTGAGCAGTATGTATCCTTAAAACTAAACCCATGTTTTCAAGTTCATTCTAACTTGTAAGTTTGGGGGAGAACTGCCTTATGGGGTTTCCAATGTCGAAGACTAAATCTTAATGGATGAAGGATGCCACATCTTTTTCTTCCACAGCAGCTATTAGATTTAAACCATTAACTTTTTGGTTAGCAGTCAAGTGTTTAACCACTGTGCTACTGGTGCTCCTGAACAATGTGTGTAGAAATTTCTAAATGGGAATTTAATTTCCTGTGCAAACTTTCACCCAAAGCACAATAAAATAATTTAAGTAAAATATTTTTCTAAGTAGTGAGAAAAAATTAGCAAAAACCATGTATACATCAAACTATCTGGCAATGAGCAGATATCAAAATAGAGAAGACTGAAAACAGAAGTGAAAAGGAATACATACCTGAAGATACAAAAGAAAAGTTAAAGGATAACATGCGCCACAGGGAGAACTTGATGCAAGTGCTAAGAAAATGTAATTTAGCAAAAATGACTTAATCGGAAGTGAAAACTTAAGTAGTCCTATTACAAAGAAAGAAGTTGAATAAATAATTAATT